TTTTTTTCTTTTTTTCTTTCTTTCTCTTTTCCTGGTGGGATTTTTGGCCACTCTGTTTTAAAAAGCAAAGGCTCTTCATTGTAATCAAGTGTCATTTATCAGAAGTCTTCCTTTTTGGATGTTTTGGGTCAAATGCAGATAATGTGAGGCCACCTGGAGCCCCACAGCAATTTCAGGCATGGTTTTCAACGAAGCCYGAGGCAGAGGCTGCAACGGTTCCCATCTGTATCAGCGCTGGCCCAAGCCATGGCCTCTGTCCTCAGATTCCCTTAAAGACAGTGGTTAAAGACAGTAAAGGAAGAAGCCAGTACAAGAGATCTCTTTTCTATCATCAACCACAGAGTCCAAGCTCCAGGGGAGTAACACCTAGTGATCCTCCATACAGCAATTACCTCCGCTTTGATTCACTAYTTGCATTTTCAGCTAGATTATTTTCCCTCACAGTTTCTCTTTGCTGTGGAGAGTCCAAGGCTGTGCTCACCACTGCGGATATTAGACAGGTTTCACACAAAGCCCTCAAGGAGTCAAATGAAAAATAATCGCACGTCACACTCCTCAGGGACTGAGGAGCTGCTGCTCACCATGTCCCTGCCAAGACCAGTTGTCTGGTTAGTATCAGATCTCCGCTTGGTTTATCCGTTCCCTGTCTCCCTAATTTGACAGCTAATCGGGAGCTATCCCTTATTCTGCAATCTCTCCTCTGTTCCAGCCTATGGAGGAGCATCCTGCTCTAGCCGTGGGACGCAGGCTAGGTGCTGCTGCGGGCGGAGGCTTCGCGTGCTCCCGGGATCCCGCGGCGGGAGGGAGCCCCGCGGTGCCTCCCTAGGGAGCCCGGGCTGCTCCCACTGCGGAGCTGGCATTTGGGAGCAGCGTGGGAGCCGCCTCCGCTGTGGCCCTCCCCGAGCCGAGCCCCGCGCGGGGCGGGCGCCGCGGGCGGCTTAAAAGCGGCGTGGGCAGCACGGAGGCCCCGCAGCGGCGCCCGGCAGCAGCGGCCGCTCCGCACACCGCGAGCCCGTGGGGGCCCGAGAGGAGGCTGCCACGCGGGGGCCGGAGAGGAGACCGCGAGGGGCAGGTGAGGGGCCACGAGGGGCAGGTGAGGAGGCCACGCAGAGGCCGGTGAGAAGGCTGTGAGGAGCAGGTGAGGAGGCCATGTGGGGGCAGGTGAGGAGGCCACGCAGGGCCAGGGGAGGAGGCCATGCAGGGCCAGTTGAGGAGGCTGTGAGGGGCCAGGTGAGGAGGCCACGCAGGGSCAGGTGAGGAGGCTGCGAGGGGCAGGTGAGGAGGCCACGTGAGGCGCCCGGGGCTCTGGAGCCGCCCACGATGGGGTCTGCAGTGAGGGGTGGGTGAGCGCGTGGGTGGTTGGGAACCTCTTCCCACAGCTCCCCCGGCCTGTTTCGTGGCTCCTGTGAGATGGGAACCTCTTCCCCTCAAGACTCGTGCAGAGGAGCGGCGGGAGCCCATGTTGTCAGAGCCCCCGGATCGTTCTTTCTGCTTCAGGTTCTTTCTGCTTCAGGTTCTTTCTGTCGGTCTTGGCCAGCCTCCCCCTCGAGGGTTTTACTGATTTTCATTTATTTATTTAATGAATACACAGCAGACAAGAGAAAATTCTGCACAGAAGGATGCAGATATCTGATCATAGCCAAGAGCTTAGGTTAAAGCAGAAAGCTGCAGAGGTTGTTGCCAAACTCTTCAGAGAGAGAACTTGAGAAGGCTCAGGAATTCCAGCCACCTCTCAAAGCTACCCCTTTTTTGTTGTTGTTTTACCCAGTTTCACCTTTCCTCAGCACAGTAAATCTCAAACCTCTCCCTCTTGCCTCAAGGCCTGCCCGTACAAGTAAGGATCTTGTACCAAGGAGCAGTGCTGGGGCATGTTGGGCTTTTAGTCGTGTCCTAACTCCAGGAGGCTAGAAAAGTTCTTTTTCTTTTTCTTCTTCTTTTTCTTTTTTTTTTTCTTTTTGTTTTTCTCCTGTCCTTTTTCCTCTTCCTTTGCAAGGCCCCATGCTGTCACCACAGCACTCACGCTCTTCCAGGAGAAGAAGGAGCTCTTGTCCAGGGCCAGAGTGGCCCTCCCACACAGCAAACTTAAGCCACAAAAGATGATGGACCAGCTCTGCAAGTTCCTCRCTAGGGTTTTGTCCAGGTCAGTGATAGTTTCCAAATGGCTGCGATTAGAGAAAGTCTGAAGACTGAATATTGACCTCAGGTGAAACTTAAGCCTTATTTTCAAAAGGGTTTTTGAGAGTGGGAGGAAGGCTAAAATGGAGCTTCTTTGAAGTGTGGCTCTTGATTCTTTCCGTGGGGTGAGATAGTGTCCAGAAAATCACCATTAACTCTTTAGCTGGTGGCTGTTCCCTTTTGGCTCTCTGGCTCTGTTCTCCTCCACTGTTGAGGACACAGATGAATCATAGAATCATAGAATACTTAAGGTTGGAAGGGACCTCAGAGGTCATCTAGTCCAACCCCACTRCTCACACAGGGTCACCCAGAGCACGTGGCACAGGGCTGCGTCCAAGCAGGTTTTAAAGATCTCCAAAGAAGGAGACTCCACAACCTCTCTGGGCAGCCTGTKCCAGGGCTCTGTCACCCKCACWGTCAAGATTTTTTTCCTTAAGTTCCTGTGGAACTTTTGCTGCCTCAGTTTGTGGCCATTTCCTCTAGTCCCATTGCTGGCCACCACTGAAAAGAGGCCGTCCCATCGTCCTCACTGCCTCCCTTGAGGTATTTATACACGCTGATCAGGGTCCCCTCAGCCTTCTCTTCTCCAGGCTGAACAGGCCGAACTCTCTCTGCCTTTCCTCATAGAGCAGATGTTCCAGGCCCCTGATCATCCTGATAGCCCTGCGCTGGACTCTCTCCAGCAGCTCCACATCCCTCTTGTCCTGGGGAGCCCAGAACTGGACGCAGTACTCCAGATGTGGCCTCACCAGGGCTGTGTAGAGGGGGACGATCACCTCTCTCGACCTGCTGGAGATGCTTTTCTTCATGCACCCCAGGATCCCGTTGGCCTTCTTGGCCACCAGGGCACACTGCTGCCTCATGGTCACCTTGTTATCCACCATGACACCGAGGTCCCTCTCTGTGGGGCTGCTCTCCAGCCGGTCCACCCCTAATCTGTACTGGTGTCCAGGGTTATTCCTCCCCAAGTGCAGGACCCTGCACTTGCCCTTGTTGAACTTCATGAGATTTCTAACTGCCCAGTCCTCGAGTCTGTCCAGGTCCCTCTGGATGGCAGCACAGCCCTCAGGGCTATCAGCTACTCCWCCCAGTTTGGTATCATCAGTAAACTTGCTGAGGGAGCACTCCATCCCTTCATCCAGGTTGTTAATGAATAAGTTGAACAGGACCGGACCAAGGACTGACCCCTGGGGGATACCGCTAACTACAGCGGGAATGTGGGAAGGCAGGTCGTGCTGTGTCCTGCTTTCTCTTGGTTACTGCTCCAAATGCAGGCAGCCCTGAGGGAACCAGCGTGAAGTTTCTCAGCAGTGTTGGTAAAAGCCAAGGTACCTCCAGGGATGAAATATCTGCTAAGAGAGAAGTGTCTGAGCTGCAACAGCCAGCTTGGAGACCTGCTGGGGTGTGAGGACTAATGCTAGAGATGTCAAGCAGTGCTTACCTTGGAGGCAAAGCACAGGAGGCAGCCTAACTTTCCAGGGTCATTGCACTGGCAGAGAAGGAAGAAAAAAATGCTTAGAAGTCTCCACTCAGGCCCAGAAGTTCTGGCCTGAACTCACGCAGTGATATCATGTTTCTCTATGGCTTTGACAAACCACCAGTGAGTCAACCACAGAAAAGGAAATATCTCAAGAGCAGGAAGGAGAGCAGGGAGGCAATTTATTTGAGCACGTAATATGCTTTCTAACCTAAGATTTGKTGAGAAAAGTAACAAGGTATGGTTGTCCCATCGTAACTACATAGCAGGAGAGTGTTTAATATGGTGTTTGAATCCATCGTTCTCTCAATAYAAGGTGATCTTAATAAAAGTGCCTTGCATTTGTCTTGGATGCYGGGTGTTATCAAGTCTGCCAGTCCATAGAAGGTACAATATTGACTGTCCACCTGTGGAAGACTGACCATTTGGCGTCACCTTTATGTCATGTTACAGGTAAAAAGACACAAAAAAGATGGATTGGGGATCTCTGCATGCCATCTTAGGAGGTGTGAACAAACACTCCACCAGCATTGGAAAGATATGGCTCACAGTCCTGTTCATCTTCCGTATCATGATCCTGGTTGTAGCAGCAGAGAGAGTCTGGGGAGATGAACAACAAGATTTTGTCTGCAACACACTTCAACCTGGGTGCAAAAATGTTTGCTACGACCACTTCTTCCCCATCTCTCACATCAGACTCTGGGCCCTGCAGCTGATCTTTGTCTCCACGCCTGCGCTGCTGGTGGCCATGCACGTGGCTTACACCAGGCACGAGAAGAAGAGGCGTTTCAGAAATGGTGAGAAAATTAACATCGAAGAGCTGAAAAAYGAGAAAATCCACATCCAGGGGCCATTATGGTGGACGTACACCAGCAGCATCTTCTTCAGGATCATCTTTGAAGCCATCTTCATGTACACCTTCTATTACATGTACGATGGGTACCAAATGCCTCGCCTGGTGAAGTGCAATGCGTGGCCCTGCCCCAACACAGTGGACTGTTTTGTTTCTCGGCCCACTGAGAAAACCATGTTCACCATTTTCATGCTTGCTGTGTCTGGGATCTGCATACTGCTGAATTTGGCTGAATTGTGCTACCTAGTGATAAAAGTTTGCATGAGAGAACGCAGGAAATCCACAGCTTTAAAATAATTGCCCCATTGCCACAATTTCTTAACTTCCCCCTTTTACTCAAATTTTCTTAGGTGTCARAAAGCAATCTGCAATATTTCCACACTTGAGGAAAAGGACCGAAATGGAAAATCATCCACAACTTCAAATGAYAGCCTCTAAAATTACAGTGGGAAGCTGCCTTGAGCTCAGTTTGGGAGCTAATTCAGCTAATTCAAATAAAAAGAGCAGCCTTTTGGCAGCAATTTTTCCAAGTATGTCTCCTGCTGTGCTTCTGTTGGTGGGATAGGGCCACTTCTCAAAAAGTGGGAGCTGAAGGGCCCACAGGAGGTTCCCATGCCCGAAGGAGAGGCAGAAATCAGAAACACGTTGCCTGCACTGCACGAATCAGCTTTGGGGGCAAGCCACTAACCAGGAGCTTTCATCAAAGTGGGATGAAGGATTTTTGGAGAACTTGAGTCCTGGTGAGAGGCAAGAAGACAGAGGGACAACTGAGTTAATTAGCATGTGTGTTATTCTTTTTCTAGGTCTTTTTTGAGAGTAAGAAARGGGACTAGGGACACAGGCACTCCAGGGCAGCACCCGTGCCACCACCTCAGCTGGAGACCAGCCCTCCTGCAGCTTTTCAGCCCTCCCCTGCTCAGAGCAGCCTCTCCAGCAGGCTCACGGTGAGCAGTYTCACCAGATCATAAACCCTGCGAGGCCAGGGCAGCCTCCCTGCGTTCTGGGGGCTGCAGCAGCGGGAGGGATGAGGTGTGYTTTCCATCCCCTGGGCCACCAAGGCTTGCTGCCCTGGAACAGGAGGGCCAKTGGGACTGGCTTCCGCCCGGTTCACTCTCCAACAGCATTTGCTGGAGACCCTCACCACACGGTTTTGTTTATTTTCATCTGATGAAAAGACTTTCTAGCACCTGGCTGCATCTCCTCCAGCTGTTTATCTTTGAAGATTTTTGTTCAGTAAAGAACAAAAAGAATGCCTCATTTTCTTTTTCATTCTGTTTACTGTCCAGGACAGAATGATGTTCAGTGGATTACAGCTACCATCAGTCTCTTTCCATCAGTCTTCAGTTTTATAGAGGCTTCTCTCCATAAAGCCTTCTCCTTGTACCCTTCAAGGGAGTACATGAAATCACTCCCCACCTCTCCAATATTGAGCCTGCTTGTAGCAAACTGGCCTGTTCTGTTTCTCCTCATTGGCTTTAATAGCGATTTTCCCTTCTAAAGAAGGAGCACAATCTCAGCTTCTCCTTTTGCCTCCACCGCTCAAGTTTATCACTGTGTGAGTAAACAAAGATGCATTAAATAAGGCTCATGTCCTTATTAAGCTATTAATTATGCTATTAAGTGCAGCATAAACAGGCTGGCACCAAAACCCAACTTGTACAGCTTAACTGCAGGTGAGAGCGGGGTGATTAATAACGGAGCATGAAAAAAAATGTAAGCAGCAGCCTCAGACACGTGRGCAAAACCATGGAAAGTCATTAATAGTGAGCTGAGCTGCAAAYGTGCTCTGGAAAAACATCCTTAGCTTGGAATGTAAAGAATAAAGCTTGGCAGCGATGAGGTTGGTGCTCAGGAGAGTTCCTGTGTTGTTCCATGCACTAGTACAACCAGAACAAGCTACTTTTACACCCCCAGTGCTTTAATACCACATTTCTTTTGTAAGAACAAGATTTTTCCTTTTTTTCTGGAACCATAACTAAAGCCTTTTGTTTTGTTGCCTGGCCTCCTGTCTTACTTGTATGTGCCGTATATTATATAACATGTTTAACGAGAATCTGTTTACCATAATATGTAGTATGTAGGTGCTAATGCTACATTTAATAGCCAAGAGCTACCGCAAGCATTTTAAACTTCTGCTGCAGGTTAATTTGCAGGTGGTTGCGTTGCCTGTTGCCCTACAGACTTCATGAGTTGGAACATCACAAATGTGACCTGTACTAGAAATCAGTTCTGCTCTCTAGACCAGGCAGGTACTAGCCGAGCTGCAGACGATAAGTAACTTACCAGCCCCATAAGAGACGGGTCCCTCAATCTGCCTTTGAGTTTGACTGTAATTTAATTTAGACTGGAATAAGGAAGTGAGACACATCAGAATTGAGAGCAGTATTCAGTTATCTTCAGTTAGCAGCTTGGCAAGCGGGTATCATGAGTGGAAGGAAGAAAGAAACTGGAAAAGTGAATGGAAGTCATCAGGAAAGGGCCTTTGGCCAGGACTGGCACAGGRCTATCAGGTTATTTACTGCCTGTGATATTTCTTCTTGCATTTGAGTAAACAGCTGCTTTGTAAGAGAGAAGAGAAATCAGCAACTTCAGAGCAATTAAGCCCTTTGCATTTACTTCTGTGTGCTCTCTTGCATGGTTGACCTCTCACAAATGGTTTTTCTGCAGATTAAAACACAAGGTTTGTACTGGAGTCATGTGTGTCCTTCCCTGAAACACCCCAGAAATGTTTGCCCTTTTGGCAGTTGGCTCCTACACTCTTCTCACAGTGAAAGCTGCTAGGGTATTGATGACCAAAGCCACAAATCTGAAACTGGGACTCTAAAGGAGGCCTGTTGTGAAGTGCAATCAGTATAGAACATGTCAGATAAYGTGATAACAGAATTAGGAAACATAGGAGTGGGACAGAGATGATTTACACCAGAAATCACCAGGAATTTACCTTTTACCAGAAAACTTCAAAGCAAATCTGCTAAGGTACTTGACAAAAAGAAAGGAAAAAAAGGAAAAATAAGGGGAAAAAAAACCCTTCACTTGTAACCCGTACTTGATATTTTATTTCCTTGTCATGAAAGAAAGACTGAATTAAAAAAAGAGCAGGATATTTTCAATATGAGCAAATAATAATAATAAAAAAGCCCTAGTTATTTAGCAGGTACCATAAGCCAATGCACTGTAGTATTTCCTATCTCACAGCAAGAATATGAAAGACAAATGTTGTGGTGCTCGCAGAGAAAAGTACTCCTATACCACTGAGGTTCAAGTCAAAATAGCAGTATTGTTAAAAGCTGATTTTTTTTTTTGTTTTTGGTAAACATTCTACTGCAGCAAATATGCAACAGTTAAGAGCACTTTACTACCAACACCCCTGTGGAAATTAATCTCTTTTTCTCATTAGTCACCCCTCTGTCCCCTGCAACACRGGCTAATATGTTTTACAGGGCAAAGAAAACACATTCCAAGAGTCTCACTGTATTTTGTGGCCACTTGTTCTAAAGCCTTAAGCAAAGAGCAGTCACTGCCCTGGGTGCTAATCACAGGTTTCTTTGGATTTTCCACTATCCTTTTATCTCTACAGTCATGTTAAATGGTTTGTAGCAAAGACAGTCACATGAATAATGGTTGCTCTGCAAGACGTAATCAACCAAGACTAACTTTTTACCATCTGAAAAAAACACTTGCCCCTGTCAGTGCTTGTCCCTATCATTTTCCTTTATAGAATATGCTTCTGTAAAGTTGGTCCAGCTCTGATATGGWTATTTTTAACATATACCCTCCTAGCTACCCAAAAAAAGCCTCTTTGAGGTGGGTTTGGCTGGAAAAGCTTTAAGCTGTAGCTGGCAGCTCCCTGCTGGCATTGCACCTTGGCCAGAGAGCCTCAGGTACCTCCGGCATGTGGTACCTGCCTTAATGCTACCCTGCAACTCAACCCCAGAATTAACCCTACAGTTACACAGGCCCTGCCCTTCTTTTCTGCTCTGCAGTCGCTGACACTGATGATTAATTTTACATCTGCCTGCTCTGTACCGCGGCAGTCCGTGGTATCCGAATAAACCCATCTGCTATCCGCAGTCCTCTCTGCACAYGCTGCCCGGTTGCGAGGCGAGGGCAGCAGGGACACGCAGTTGAAGGAAGTTTGTGTTGAGTGAGCTGATAGAGAGCTTAGCTGGGCTATGAATCACTGCAGCCTGCACATGAATAAAGCCTATTGTGTTCTAAAGTGGTTTGCTCCTCGCTTTTTTGCTGCAGAAAACCTGTATCTTGGGAGCTGCTTTGAATCTGTATCGTGAAGCCCTGCTTTGACGCTGCGGTTTCAAACACCACCGAGGCCTGGAGAAGAAGAAAGCACAAGAACAGGGGCAGGGAAGAGGCCAGTTCCCCTTATTGCAGAGAAGCCAACGTTGCTTCACAGCCAGGCACGGTGCCTGTGCAGTAAATACTGCAGTGCTGAGGGCAGTCACACTGGCCAGAGCTTCCGCYGGCCTGACCGTGCGGGGGCAGCTTATCTGTGTGGTTAAGCGCCTAGATTGGCTGCCCTCTTTGCAATTCTGCTACTGTAGGCTTGGTGAGCTGGGAAAGAAATTAGCAGCCCTAGAATACTTAATTTATAATCATGAAATTTGGTTGAAAATGTTTTGCAGGTCATTTTCTACTGAAGTTCAGCCTTAAGACAGCACATAAAAATCCTCTCACATCTCCAAGTGATCCACACAGGAGCAAGATTCCTACACTTGCTTTTAATGGAGTGACTGAAAAAAAATGCCCTAAGTTTTCCATCCAGTTTTCTCTTTTTACAAATCTCCTTTCATTCAATTTGAAATTATTATAGTCATCTTAGGGCACAGTTAATCCCTTAATCACATTGATCCTGAGTTTCCCCAACTGGAACATAAAAGGTGACAACAGTGGCTGGCTCACAGAGAGCAGGAAAATTTAATTAAGAATTGTTTGCTAAGATCATTGCAAAGATAAGTGCCAGAAAAACATAATTTTTAATTATTGTGACATAAAGATTTCAAACCTATGCGATGTTGCATCATTAATGTAATGCCTAATTATGACTAGTTATGTCCCTGCCCTAAATATTGCATCTTTTCCAAGGACTGATCATTTAATTTACGTTTTAAATAGCTTCCATGCTCACTTCAACACAGACAGAATCAAACTACACACTTACCCATACACATGTTCACAGAGAGGAACAAACTGGCTAAATCATTATATCACTTTTATCTCTTAGAAAATTCAAACAATTACGACATGGATTTGTCAGGAATAATTTCTGTTTGTCTCATGAT